TGGTATGTGGAATGAAGTGGGCGGGCATCGGGAGGCCACTATGGCACGGGGCAAGCACTATGGGCAGTCTATCTGAAGTGTACCTGGCGTATAAGAAGACCCACTTGGAGGCATATTTTTCAGGGCCAAAAAATCGTCTTATACGCCGGCAAATACGGTAATATTCTAATACTTTCAGAAGAACCTAATTTCGAATGGGAACTGCCTCCAGAATACTTGCACACTGCAAAATTCTCCCCAGGTCTGATTCTTCCTCCTTTTCTCCCCAGTGAGGGCTTTCTGCCACTATTTCTATAAGCATGGCTGTCTTGTCACTTAAATGCTCCAGTCCCTCACCTCATCACAGTTACCCTGCTTTCCTGGAGCATTTATTTGAGTAGTCATAGTTGGTGGGGGGGAAAGGAGAACAGGACAAAGGGGGTTGATATAGCCATTTGGGCAGAAAAAAAAAAAAAGGAAGATAGGGATGAATGAAGGTTCATTTAGCGGAACACAGGCTTACGAGAGGAAAGAGAGCTAGGAAAAGATAAGCTTTTAATTGATATATGCCCGAAATGTTACTCAGTTATTATTCTCTTCTATTCGCTTGGTTGGCCACTGTTCACAGATCTTTATCTGTTCTTTATCTTTAAACACCAGATTTCTTCTTTCACTTATTGGCCACTGAGAGTATGAAAAGAACAATTTTCAATCACTTTTCATTGCATTTTCTGTGATTTGGTCCCTTTATATTCTCAAGATTGTGGCTAAAACTACATTAAATGTAGCCAACGCAAGGTTAAAATCTTCAGGCACAAAAATCCATTAACTTTCTAATACTTTCAGAAGATGAGCCTAACTTCAAATGAAAGCTGCCTCCAGAATTTATTAATAGCACGTTCAGGATACAATTTGTTTCGGCAAACACTCTGTAGACATTCATTCACATAAAATTCCACTGAACTAAAAGTGAATTGCCCATGGGAAAAAAAAACCAAAACAAAACAAAACATTTTTCAATAGCTTCAAACCCTAAAGGATGACAATCCTTGGATGAAAAAGAATAAAAAAATAAATATATAGTAATGACGGATGAGTTAGAAATTGTAGTTTTGGGTAATTTACCTCAATTAAAGAGACCATCTATGTTTAATTTGATTAACATAGCTGACCTGGAGGCCCTACTTAGATACAATCTGAAAATACCAAAATTCAATCTCTTTATCTATAGATAACCAGGCAGTCAGAAAAGAATGTTTGGCAGTATGAATAGAATGACAGGGTAAATATCGCAAATGCCTAGACCTAGGATAGGATTTGTGATCCCTGAGTTCAAGCTAACTATGAGAGGATCAGAAATCATTATTCTGTAAGCTTTTTTTAAAAAACACTTTGGATGTCCTCCACATTTCTCTTGTTGTTTTCTACATGTTAGTAGGGGAAGCCGCTTTGAAAATCCTCAGTCTACCTCAACTCTGTTAACAGAAACAAATGATGGGTTTTGCCTGAGCAAACATCGGGCCAGAAGAACATGGTGGGGTGACACCTCATGGAACAAGAAAATCTGGAGGAAGAATGGAGGCCTCCCCTAACTCAGTTCTAAACGCTGGAAGGTCTAGAGTGTTTTACTGAGGATGGCAGCATTTAAAACAGACAAACATGACTATTTGGAGTAAGTTCCATGTCTCACACTCAAACACGAAAGTACTCTTGCATTAAAAATTGAAAGTGTATTATTTGCAAAAATTCAGAGAATGTGTGCATGCTATATATGCTCTACAATACAGATTAATACATTATTGAATAAAGGTTTTCATGCTTTTATGAATCATCAATTTACACCAACAGTATAAACAAGGTCTGTTTTCCCAATTACTTTTATACAAAACATAAACACTATTTTTCCATCATAAAAGTAATGCTGAAGCGCATCAAAAAGATTGCCAGGTAGTACTTACCGTAGCTACTCTAGATACACTTTTTTAATGACAAATTTTGTCTTATGCATTGACACATAGCTATTCTGTTGTATTAACTACTTTTAAAACAATGCAAATAACAAATTATCTTAGAATCAAACTATCTAGGAATTTCCTTACTATTGTCCCAATAACATAAAGTAAAATTCAAATAAATCATGTACTTAGAAGTTATATATACTGATGACTTATATAAATTTATATTCTTTAACATTTTTCAGCATACATTCTTAAATTAATCTTAAATATAAATTCTCAACATATATTTATTAATATTTCAGTGCTTCACATTTTTAAATTTGTGCAATACTCCATTGGAAGCCACAGATTTGTGGTTCAATTTTTAGGTGAAATTTGCTGAAACTTCTTGAGATATTTATGTAACTTTTAAACCCAATGGTTTTCAGGTGAGACAAGCTGAATAAATCTGGATTAAGTGTCTTGTGTCTACTGTAAAGATTACCTATTAAGGGGCAGGCCGAGTGGCTCAGTTGGTTAAGAGCTTGCTCAAGGGTGCAAGCTCTGAGCAACTAGCAGTTCAGTTCCTGGCCTGAGCTGACTGCCAACAGGTGGCAGGATGTCTTGGCTAAAAAAAAAAAAAAAAAAAAGATTACCTATTAAGGTTTAGTTTAAAGCACTGAATTTAAAAAATATAACATTAGTTGAAATTTGGGATTACTATTTTCCCTGGAAACCTAAGGAACAGAGTTCTTCCTTCCAAAGGAAGAAAAATTGTTCATTTTTTTTCAGACACTTCACTCAATATATTTCTTTATGAAGTCAAATGTTTTGTATATTTCGTATGTCTGGGAAATGGTGTACTGAATATGCTCAAAATTAAAAAACATTAACTAAAAAGTACTTAACTTAGAAATTACAAAAATAGAAGACATCAATGAAATATATTCTATACAGAACATACCAATCATACACTGTTTGTTTTTTTTTATGATACAAAATATACTTACAGAACTTTTAGTATCAGCATAAAATAATTATATATTTTGGGGGGAGGATCTGGTTATTCAATCTTGTCCTTGATTGAGTTCTACGTAAATAGAAATTTACTGTAAGAACTATTTTTGGTATAAAAGATAATCTGATCCCAAAGTGTTTAGGAATAATAACCTGAGATGTTAGAAGAGAGATATACGAGTATACTATCAAAACTGGTTCCTTAAATGGCATTAATAATTAAATGCATTCAATAGAATTAAATGGCATTAAAATATTAGGTTAGAAATAGTAATAATTATAAAATGCCATTTTGGCACTGTTATTGGTATTAATCAAAGTATTAAAGAAGTGCAAATATTAGAGAAGTAATACTTTCAGTCTAGAACAGGGAAAAAAATTTTTGGATAAAATTGAAGTACTTATTGATAATTAAGAAACAAATGGGTCTATGGAATAGTAATTGTTCCAAATGGAGCACATATCTGGTAAGTAGAGTATTTCATTGGCAAACAACCTACTGCATTTAAGAAAAAAAAATGTGTCGCTTTCAGGAATCCCTGACATTTCATTTCTCTGGGGGCCTTTCAACTGCGTTGGCCTCCTTTAAATGAAGGAAGGCGAAAGCGGACGTCAATGTGCCATCGCCACTCTGCTGTGAATAGCAAAGGAAGGTGGCCCACAGAAAACCATAGAGTCCAGTGTAAGCTGTTCTCCACTGAATAGGAACAAGGCTAAAGTTGGTAAGCTGTAACAGAAAGGGAATATGTTAGTGCTCCATATACATCAAAGCCAGGAGTTAGCATTCTCAGCAGTGTGAAACTCACCTGTACAAAAGGCCAGTACATCAGACCACTCTGGAATAAAAAAAAAAAAAAAAACTTCATTAGAATGCCTTTGTTTTTTTAAGTGTATTTTTCCAGGACCCATCAGCTCCAAGTCAAGTAGTTGTTTCAATATAGTTGTGGAGGGCGCAGCTTAGAGTGGCCCATGTGGGGATTTGAACCGGCAACCTTGGTGTTAAGAGCACTGCACTTTAACCAACTGAGCTAACCGGTCGCCCTAGAATGCCTTTTAACCACACAAAACAATCCCACAGCTCTTCTATAAAATATTAAGAAAAAACAAAATAATATAAAATAATATTGAATGTCAACTATAATTTAAATACACACACACACACAGACACACACAGAGTCACAAGTACAGCATAGGGAATATAGTCAATGGTATTGGAATAGCTATGTACGGTGTCGGTTGGGTAGTAGACTTGTTGGGGTTATCACTTTGTTAAGGGCGTAAATGTCTCCTCATTATATTGTTTTGTGCACCTGACACTAATAAAAAGAAAAGAAAAACAAAGCAGATAGAATGGGGAGGTGGCATTATATTTCAGACTAAGCCAATTAAATTAGACTCCTTAAGGTCTCTTGAGTAGAAAAGGATGTGGAATTATTGGAGAAGCTTTTAAGTACAAGCCATTTATATTAGCTATATTCACAGATCTAGAATGAAAAGTCTACCAGAATCTGTTAGACAACTGCTTTCAAAATAACAAAATATATTCACACTTTGGTGAAGATCAACGTAACCAGTCAAGGACAGAAGGAAGTTTTGTGCCTTCTCCTGTGATAACCTTGAAGAGGACACATCACCATGGATGGAGGGTTCCAGCCAGGAATGTATAACCTGTATCTAATCATGAGGAAACAATAGACAGACCCCACCCCCCAAAACAAAGGAATGTTTTGTTTTTTTTAAAAAAGGAAGCAGGACTATATTCTTCAAAAATAGTGTATAGATTTTTCAAAAGGGCTAAGAACATGTTCCCAATTAATAGTTGCTAAGGAGATATGAGAATGAGAGGCACTACCTGATCCTTTACTGGATCCTGTACTGTAAGGAAAAGAAATGCTACAAAGGCCTGTAGATGGTCAATTGACAAAAATGGAATATGGATGGTAGATGGGATAAAAAGATTATCATCACTGTTAAATTTATTGAAGTTGTCAATTATGCTGTGGTTATGTGAGAATATCTTTATTCTTAGGAAAGAAATACTTAAGTATCTAGGGGTGAAAAGGGTAATTTTGTGTGTGACTAACTCTCAAATAATTCAGAAAACCACTAGGAGGATGGATGGATGATACAGCAAGAAAATAATAAAAAAAAGTGGGGGGAGGCAAAATGCTAACGATCAGTGAATTTAGGTAAAGGGTATATGGGTATTCTTTGAACCATTCTTGTTATTTTTCTGTAAGTTTGAAATTATTTCCATATTAAAGTTTTAAAAAACGATATAAAAGAGAAAAATGTACTATCAGATATATTTCTAAGAAATAATATCTCTGGGTCGGCCGAGTGGCGCGATGGTTAAGAACTGGCTTGGGATGCCAGAGGGCCCCGGTTCGGATCCCACAAATGAGGGCCAATGACACTGCCCTCCACAGCTAAGATGCTGAACAACAGCTCAACCTGGAGCTGGGCTGCCATGGGTTGCTGGCAACAGCGTAGGCTGCAGCCCCTGCTGCAGTAGGTTGCCATAAGCTACCATGTGTAGTCGGCAGCCAGAGTGAGCGGCTAGCAGTCGCTGTGAGCGGCCATCAAGAGGCCGGCGACTGATCTGCCTCGCCCGGGAAGAGCGCAATGATGGTTCCAACTTGGGCCAGTGAAGCAACGTCCTCCACAACTAGACTGAAGAACAAACCAACAGCAACTTTTCTGTTCCCCTTCCCCCGATTCCCCAATAAAATCTTAAAAAAAAAAGTAAAAGAAATAATATCTCTGAGCTGCCATACTGAAGCTGGTGAAAGGAGATACTTACCGACCATGCAAAAAAACAAACAAAAAAACGCCCACAAAAACCAAAAAGCTCAAGTACTACTTACATGTAAACAACAAATAAACTAGGGAGATCCTTCTCACCTTCATCAAAAGAACTTGGATTGGGCAGGGGGTTAATTCCTCAGCAACAAAGAACCATACTACTCTCATGTATCTTCGGGCTATAAGAGCCTTCTGTGACCGATTCCTTTCCTGTGCTTCTTGTCTTCTGTGCTCTTAGTTTCATTGATCAAGCTTGGATTGAAAGCGTAGTCTTAACCCAGTTTCTCCCATATCTAATATCTCTAGCTCTGAGCTCTCCTCTGTGTATCTAGAAGTCTCCCCTCGCATATCTTAAAGGCAGCTGGAATTCAACATTTCCCAAAATCAATTTGTTCGTCTATCTTAATTGGCTCACTGCCCTCTGGGTCTTATCTCAAGCGATGAACCACTACCCACACGGTTACCGAAGGCAGAGACCTGTGGGCCATCCTAAATGTATCCCTGTCCATTTCCAATCATCCAGATTTACCAATTCTACCTCCTAAATATTTCTCAGATCAATCCTATTCCCACTGCTTCATTATTTCTTATGTGAACTTGGTTACAATTACCCTCCAACTTGGTTTCTCTTGCCACTACTGCAACTGAAGTTCAAATTCCCTGGCATGGCATTCAGCACCCAAACAAGGTAGCCTGCATGTCTTCATTAAGGGAGACACATCTTCCAATCCCTATCTGAAGCCCCTTTCTTTCACAATTCTGCTTGTTTGTGCTTTTCATACACATTTGACGTACATCTCTCCATAGCATCTATGATATCATGAGAAAACTTGTTCTTTTCTCCAAAATGAAGCAGAAGAAAACCACATTCGATGGACCCACATGGGCCCACAATTTCTGCCCCAAGAGAATAATAACGAGAATCCTGAATACTCTTTCCCGCTGAAGGAAGAAGGAACTAACTGTCCTTGAGCAGAGGAGTGCAGGAGAAGCAGGTGGCTTCAATCCTCCCTATCAAATCCAGCCATCAAGTGGGTGACACTGGCTCTGGGGCCGGCTATCTTTCAAATGAAGGTGCTAGAAGCAGTGACGCAATTGCTGGGTGTGGCTTGGCACTGCTCTTGGTGGAGAATTAAGTACATGTGAAGCCCTAGGCCAGTCTCTGTGTGTTCTGCACTCCTGAAAGTTCACCTTACTGATGAATAGAATTAAACATGCTCTAGGCCAGAGATGGAAAGCAGCCCTGATTTTGCCAGGCCTTAAGGATCCTGCTCAATCTTGAGTAAATTAATAAGTACTTGTTGGACTGGACTACGTACGTATGAGTATATTTGCATTACGTCAACAGTGAAATAGGTGACTTGCTTCAGGCCTAGACATAACCCCAGGAAATATCATCGTTCTCTGTAAATACCTTTGTAATGTTATTATAATAAGAAGGTTCCTGTCACAGGGACTTGGCAGAAGGCACACATGGAAACACTGACTCTGAAAGTGGGAATGATTCTATTAAGCCACTCACATTCTACTATTCCTTTTTGCAGTAACCTCTTTGGCTCCGAAATTCACTAAATAAATTATAATCACTAATAAGACTAAACGTAAGAATGTCAGAAATCATTGTGAATACTGACTACAATTCAGAGACACTCATGCACAGCCACTCGTAAAGCTTCTTCTCATTCATCTATCAAAATAAATGTAAGGTTTCTCTGTCAAAATATTGTACCCTTGCGCCAACCACCTGGAGCCCTAATTTAAGAATATTTTTTATTAAAATGTATTTAATGTTAAAGATGTACCAAAATATCTTGGTTGCATTTTCAAAAGTCTGTCTTACCTTATATGTATTCCAGAATTTCTGTTTCAGGTCCAAAAATATGTCATCCTTTCCCTGGAGAATACTCATACCTATTTGCAAAAATACACACCAAAATAAGTTTAAAAGATTCAGCAGGAAGAATACTACATAACAGTTCATGTTCAAGTTTTCTATTTCAATATGTAAAGTAACTACCATTATCACTCACTCAATATGTCCCTTTTGACCCAGCAGTATATAACCTCCATTCTAAAACTAGATAAAAATTTAAAAAGAATGATAAATATGAATAGCAGGGTATAAAAGTTATAGCAAAACGATTATTAAAAAAACTGTAAGAAAATTCACAAAAACAGCAGCATTAGCATAGTGAGACTATTGGTGACTTTTCTTCTCTCCCTTCCAAACTTTCTGTAAAATGTTTAAATTTTTAAAAATTTAATTTCCTTCTTTTGAAAAAAGGGCTGATGGACCCTGGGTATTCTGAAAACTACAAATGTCCCATCAAAGAAAGAGGCTTTCTGATAAGAATTGGAAAGAACACCAATGCGGCCTTCCTAGAAACATTTTGAAAACTCTCATGATCAACAACCTTGAAAAGAAATTCAGGCAGCAAGGACACAACTCTCTTATTTTAGGAAAGGTGTAAAAATGAGTGCTCTAAAAATTCCTCCCCAACTTCAATTAGGAGAAAGGGGAAATAAGATCTTTTTAGCCAATTGCAAGGGATTCTTAGAGCAGGACTCTTAAGAAAACCCAGCGGGAATATTGGTAATGCCACATTCCACGTACCCAGCACTGAATAAGTACTAAGCACTTTGTGTGCGTTATTTCATTTGACCCTCCTAACATTTCACTCTCGTAACCGCAGGCCGAGGATGGTCAAGTTTCGGACGAGAAAAACAGCTTAGGGAGGTTAACAGCTGTCAGAGACCAACCCAGGTGTGGATTCCATGCCAGGCCTCTTAATCACTTCTCAAGCTCCCCAAGGTGGCCCAGCACAAAGGATCATGTGATACAAGCGATTTCCAAGTCGGAAGTACCTGGAACAAATATCCAACCTGCCCCTTCCCAACTTCCCCCATCATTTTAACACGACGACGGCGAGAGGGAAAGTGGGCCAGAAATTTGAAAAGCAAAACAAAGAAGCAACTGGGCAGGACTGTTTCATAGGCCTTCCCAAACCCTGTCACTGCAGCACCTTTCTGCTTTCATGGATACTGACAGCACTCATTGAGACGGAACATGGCACAAATTGTGTTGTCTTAGGGCAAGTGACTTCCCCTCTTTGAGCCTCGGTTTTCTCATCTGTAACATGGGAATAATAAGAGTACTTGCTTCACTGGGCTGATTCCCAAACTCCCAGCCTCCTGCCCCCGATCCCTTCACTGGTGTACACGGCGCCTCTGCAGTAACAGGCATGATGAACCAGTCTGCACATCGGGCCAGGAAGTTCTGCTCGGGGACCAGACACAGATGTGATAAACCAGGAAGCCCCGGCTCTCAGGTCCTCCATTCTCCTGACCTCAATGGCCCCGTGGGCCCTGCACCAGGCAGCCCCTTCCTTGTGGAGCTTGTGAAGAAAGGAACGGAATCTGGCCCCCCCGCCCCCCCCAAAAAAACAAGATCCATGGGGCAGTTTAGGTATCTTTAAGACAGTTACTTGATCACCTCAACCCAGTTTGAAAGGCACCAATAGCCACTAACAAGACGACCCTCTGGGCAGGAGGATCTGTGGTCCCCAACGCCAAGGCCAGGCCCAGGGCTCTTGGACTTTCTTAGGGAATGGTTGCCCCTCCTCAGCACACTCCCTTCCAGTTATCAAAATTGCTGACCAATGTTTTTGGTATTTAAGGCCCTGAGGAAGGTTCCTGAAGTCAGGCCTTCAGGCCCCAGGGCACGTTTTTTGAGGAAGGGGCTCCCAGGACCCTCACAGGTATAGTGTCCTCTCTGGCAGGGTTCCTGAGGTCCCCTCACATTTTTGCTGTTGCTTTTGATGGGGGGCTGGGATCCCAGCAGGAAAATCTAATTACCACAGTAGGTCTAGGGTCCTGAGCATGAATTTTCTGGGGAACTTGGCGGGACCTAAGGTACCACCAGCTCTGCCCTCGCGTCCCAGCTCCTCACAAATTGTTGGTGCATTGAAAGGAGTGTCCGCCAGTGGAAAGGAAGCCCTGTGGCCCCAGACCTGGATTTTCCCAGGAACAGAAGGGCCCGGACCCACAACTAGGTCACAGGGGTTGCAGCTGCTGATGGCAACGAGCTGGGGTCTCCTCGCCGGTGCACCCCTGACAGACTGAAATGGACCCCCCAGCCCTGCTTCCCATGAGCTCTCCTTTATGCCTCACGACCCCCACCCCCTGCAATCTCCAGCCTCGCACTACACACAGGCCCCAAAGTTCCAACTCCAATCCTGGCCCCCCCACATCCCCGACCCGCTGGACCGTGGCCACCTAATCCCTGGCCTCTCCAGCCGCCACTCCTCAACTTCTCCCCCTCAGCTCCCTGCACCCCGGGTCCCCGGACTTCTCGGCCCTTGCACCTCCATCCCCCGCCCCCGGCCCCTGCCTCCAGTACCCTCACCGGTATAGAAGGCCGAGACCGCCACGGGCGCGCCGACCGCCTGGTCACACAGCACCTTGGCCAGGATGGCGCGCGGCGTGCGGCCCGGCAGCGCGCGCTCCAGCAGGCGCTGCCACACGTAGTTGAAGTTGGCGTGGAAGGCCACCGCCACGGTGGCCACGCGCCGGGTCTGCCGCCAGTCGGCCGGGCCGCCCCGCAGGCGCTGCTGCAGCGCGTCGCCCGCGGAGAAGAGCGCCGCGTAGAGCAGCACGTTCGTGGGCCACGGGTAGCGTCCGGCCGCGCGCGCCAGCGCCCTCCACCAGCGCGCCATGCCGCTTCGTGGGCGCCCGTCTGCGACCGCCGCTGCCTCCCGGGACCACGCCTGCCACGGTCCCCCGCAAGCCCGGAGCGTTCTCCCGCCACCTGCACCTGCCTCCTCCAGACTCTCCAGAACGATTGGGCGCCCTGCGCACACACCCAGTCCGCGCGGTCCAATCCCGTGGCCACTAGCCATTGTGCGGGCCGAGCATTTGAAATGTGGCTGGTCCCCAGAACGCATGATCCATTTACAAGAAATGTCCAGAATTGAAAAAGCCATGGAGACAGAAGGTAGACTAGTGGTTGTTAGGGGCTGGGTCATTCGAGGTGACTGCTAATTTGGTATGGGGTTCTTGAGGGGGGAGGGGGTGGCAAGAAAATGTTCTGCAATTAGATAGATAGTGGTGATAGTTACACGGGAAATCATTAAATACACTCTAAAATGATTAATTTTATGGTGTGTGAATTACATCTCCCCCCCCAAAAAAAGATTAAAAGGGAAGTGGGGGAGAAGAATGGATACCAAAACTTAGGTACCAGGATGGCAATGTATTTTAAATGCTTACATGCATGGAATTCACACTTTCAACACACACAATGCACTGCTTGTTAACTATGAAGACAAATTCAAAATTTTAAATCGGAGGCCTTTCATGACTGTGACGTGGGGCTCAATGGGTCTACAGCCTTCTCCTCTAAGGAGTTTGTGACTCAATGAATATTGCCTCCCAACAATACAGAGGGTGCAAAAAAAAAAGTATATTCATTTTAAGAAAGGAAAAAAAAAACTATTAAAATTGTAATACTCAATATATACGGATAATAAGAGATGAATACAAGTCATGTGTATACATTTTTTGGGGAACCCCCAGTATATGCTGAGCTCCCAGGCACCATCCCAGAAGCAGGTCGTTTTTTTCCTTCTTTCACTGTAACTTCCAATCCCATTTTCAGTCTCTCCTATTTGTTTACCCTATTTTACTTCGTTTTAAAATTTTTAACTTTTCAGTTTGAAATACTTCCAGACTTAGAAAACAAAAAGTTGCAAAAATAGTACAGCATTCCCACGTACGCTTCACCCAAGCTTCCTCAAATATTGACATCTTACATAACCACTGTGGGGGAGGAAGAAAAGTCCCCCTACCCTCAAGGTTCTTCTGGCTGGCCAAATAATCAAATAGACATGAGACAGATTAGCAAGAGAAAATAACCAAATTTAATACGTACATACGCGTATGCATGGGAACCCGGCATTCATGAGTCAGACACCCCACATGCACAAGAGGTTCAGAGAGAGAATGGGTAAAGACATCCTGAGCTAAGAATGAGGTAAGGAGCCTTGGGCTTCAGGAGGTCATTGCAGGACAAGCACAGGTTCAGTAATTAGTAGTTTGCCCTGCTATACAGGTAGGTCAAAAGAGGTTATAGTTGATAGTCTCTCATTATGGGCTGGGCCCCTAATTCAAGTTCTTTGAGATAGTTAAGGGCGGGGCAGAAGTTTCTCTTGAACCTACCTGCAACAGAAGTTGCCTTTAGATCAGAACAACCCACGAACCACAGAAGTACATCTGGGGTGACTCGTTCTGAACCCTCGCAGTACCAGAGTTCCCATAGAGTCTTCACCCAAGCTTCCCCAAATATTGACATCTTGCACAACCGTAGTACAATTTTCAAAACAATAAGCACTGATGTAATCCTATTACCTAACCTACACGCCTTATTCAAATGATCTCCGGTTGTCCCATGAAGTCCCTTTTTCAATTTTGCATCCAATCGCATATCACTTTTCACTCCATTGAATTGTCAAATATCACCTTAATCTCCAATATGAGTCACTAACCAGTTATTTTGTAGGCTGTTCCTTCATTTGTCAACCCTATTGTTATGAGCTGAATTGTGTCCCCCCAAAATTCATATGTTGAAGCCCTAACCCCTAGGACCTCAAAATGTGACTGTATTTGGAAACAGGACTTTAAAGAGGTGACTGAGTTATAAAAGAAGCCCTCAAGGTGGGCCCTAATCCAATCTGACTGATGTCCTTTTTAAGAGGAAATTTGGACACACAGAGACACCTAAGCAGAAAAGATTATGTGAAGACACAGTGAGAAGGTGGCTCTCTGCAAGCCAAGGAGAGAGGCCTCGGAAGAAACCAAGCAGCTCACAAGTTGTCCTTGGAGTTAGAGCCTCCAGAACTGTGAGAAAATAAATATTTTTTAATCCACCTGGTCTGTAGTATTTTGTTCTGGCAGCCCTAGCAGACTAATACACAATTCTCTTCAATTCTTGGGAATTTACAAATTTCTGTGTTCTTTGACCCTGTTTCCATCCCTCCGCTCTCCTTGTCCTTATTACTGGTCCCACGCAAATCTTTGTGTCAGACTTCTCCCAGCTAGGCAGGCTCCTAGCTCACCAAAAACATCACTTTTTGTTTATATCCCCCTTGTGTTATTTGCCTACTGCTGCTGTAACAAATTACCACAAACTTAGTGGCTTAAAACAACACGAATTTACTGTCTTCAAGTTTTGGAGGTCAGAAGGCTCTGACTGCATGCCCCAGGACCTGGTCTCTTTCTGGCTAGCATGTGGCTCAATAAACCCTTTCTATCTGAAATGTTTCTGGCCATGAAAGTTTTTATTTAACACTGTATACTTGTCTCTCCTTAAAAGCAATAAAAATAAAACCAATCTATTACTCAGGTGTCGCCTTACAGTCGATTTTTAGACCACCCCCCTGTATTAGTCTCTGACCCATTAGTCGAGAGAGTGTCTCGGAAAACTGAGGCCGGATGGAATGATATCAGCTGTCTCCCCTGGGAGGACATGTAATTATGTCTTGGGGCAATGTGGTGGAGTACGAAGGCATAGCATTTGCTGGAGTACATTGGGAAAAGGTCATTGGAAAAGGCCTTAAGGCGCACCAGTATACACGGTTAGTGACTGACAGCACAGCAGTTTACTTCCTTGAAAAGAATCAATAAAAACCATGCGTCGACCCGATTCGGTGGCTCAGTCTATCTCTGAAGGCTGAGTCCCTTGGTCTTGCTCTTAAATCTTACTTTTGTCTCTTGTACTTATTCAAATCTGCGCCGCCCCTCTCGTGTCCCATTTGCCCTTGCCACGCTGGACGTGACACTCAGGCAAACACTGAAGAACCCACATAGCCTTCAAACAAGAAAAGATGCTCTAAGATAAATGAATTCATTACCCTGATGCTCCATCATCTGTGCAAACTGTGATTCAGGGCCCTCCAGCAATAACTAGGCAACTCATTTCTGTGACATTAATGTCCCTGAACAGTGGGGGATAACTGGAGAACAGAATGCTGTTAAAATGTAAAAGAGAAGTTTTGTTAGGAACTCTTTCAGCATGATATAAACTACTGATGTGGGCACTGAGCTTCAATTTACAATGAAGGATCACATTAAAAATACATTAAGATGATTACAGTGAAGCTTACTGTAACTGTTATTATTTCATTTTATTTAAATGAATCGGGGCTTAATAAGATCCACCACGTGGGCCGCTTTTCACTGGTGTCTAAAACCGAACTTCTGCTAATCCTGAAATGTCTACTGACAAACAAAAGGCTGCTACGCGTAAAAGCTCCGAGACCAACAGATGTGTTTTCCAATGAGTGGATGAAGCAATCACCTAAGGCCACCACCTCAAAAAAGGTCATTGCAGTTCCTGAAACCTCTTCAATATCACCTCTGAGACATGGGCTGTGTTTGTGGGTGTGGGTACAGAGCAGGAAATTGAAGTAACTGTCTTCTTCCTTGTCACTTGAAATGAGGCTTGAGGAAGGCTGGCAAGACCTTATCTAATCCTTCCTTTTTCATGATTTCCTCACCGACTCACTCCTTCATTCCAGCGCCCTTCATTCTTACTTTCTCCAGCAGCTACCTGATCAAAGAGCTCTGATTTGAAGCTGGCTGCACCCAGTAAGCACAAAAAATCTTACTGGGTGTAAGCACAAAAAATTTTACTGGGTGTAGCCGTACTTACCATGGCTACAGAGCAATAAAAACAGCTATGCTTTATGCAAATTTTTTTAAAATTATTTTTTATTTGGATATGTGTGGGTGGGCGAGATTGAAATGATAGGGATTTGGAGGCACCACCACCACTGCTTACTCCCTATCTGAATGTGCACACGGAATGAAAAAAAAAAGGGGGGGGTCTAGCTGGGAAAGAGGTCAGAGGGGAGGTTAGAAGGAAGAGGACATACACCTGCTTCCCACCCGAGCCATTATTTCTTCTGTTAGCAGAAATACGATTAAGCAATTCTGTCAGGAAATCACTGCATATCAGCTCTGACGTGGAAAAACCATGCCTAAGAAGTCTGTCTCTATGACCTAGGCAACTTTTTTTTTTTTAAATGAAGATTTTTATTGGGGAATTGGGGGAGGAAACAGCGCTGGGGAATTGGGGAAGGGGAACAGACAAGTTGCTGTCTTTTTTTGTTCTTCAGTCTAGTTGTGGAGGATGTCGCTTCACTGTCCCGTGTTGGTATTATCATTGCGCTCTTCCTGGGTGAGGCAGTCACTCACTGGCCATTGGACGGAGGGTCACGGCAGCTCACGGCAGCTCATGCCACCTGCCGGCCAGCCTCACTGCAGCCTACGCCTCTGCAGCGACTCATGGCAGCCCAGCTCCAGATCGAGCTGTTGTTCACCATCTTAGCTGTAGAGGGCACAGTGTCTCTGGCCCACATGTGGGATCCAAACGGGGGCCCTGCTGCTCAGAGCTGGTGTCCCAAGACAACTCTTAACCACCGTTCCACTTGGCCAGCCCTGACTTAGGCAACTCTAAAATCTTTGAGATTGACATTATCATTTTCAGACCATTTTAATGTTGGCTGGAGCTGAAGCAAAAGAGTGAAGCTAACATTTTATCCGTTCTTTGCTCTTGTTTAGAAGTTTGGAAGACTTTCCCATCCTTCTATCCTGCCCCCAACGGAGTATTAAAACATGGCAACAGATTTCTTAACAGGGATGGTGGACATTATAAACTCCATCTACAATGTGTTATTTTAAAATTGTATTATTTGGAAGAAATATTTTCAATAGTGTTTCTCTGGCTCAGGAGCTCTGTTTTCACTAGCTTTACGTAACTATTCTTCCCACAATTGATATGGGATAATAGAGCAGTTGAATTTATTTCATTCATTTTCTATTGTTAAGCTTTGGGAAAAGAAACACCTTTCTAAAATTTCCTAAAATACATAAAGAAGATATAAAATCTGAAATTATGAAAAACCCAGCATTAGAGGTACCTTTAAAGATAGTGCATCCGGTCAGAATGGCTATCATCAATAAATCAACAAGTGCTGGCGAGGCTGTGGAGAAAAGGGAACCCTGGTGCACTGTTGGTGGGATTGCAGATTGGTGCAGCCATTATGGAAATCAGTACGGAGGTATCTCAAAAAACTGGAAATGGAACTACTGTATGACTCAGCAATTCCACTCTTGGGTATCTATCCAGAGAAACCCAAGACGCTAA